TAATTAAATTATATTACTTGAAATATCCTTTATATTCATATATTCTATTATAATTATATCTCGCGTTTATCTTCTAATATATAAAATTCTCGTGTCACGGTGTTTGTTACCAAACTCCTCCGAAATGGCTTTACCGATTTTCATGAAATTTTGTGCGCATATTCGGTAGATCTGAGAATCGGCCAACATCTATTTTTTATACCCCTCAATGATAAGGGTGACCCACCCCTAAAAAAAACAATTTTTTAGAAATAATGTATATGGAAAAACAACGTTTGCGAGGTCAGCTAGTAATATTATAAACGTAAGATATAATGATAATAAATAGATTGATAAAAAATATAATTAATTATTAACAGACTACGGTTAGTAAACAACTATAGACCTAACAACATTTCATTTTGTGTCCGTTTATAATATAATTGACTATTGCACTTGTGCCATGTCTGAAGATTAGATGACGTGCATTTTGTGTTAGAAATTATATTAACATCTTCAAATTATTTATTGATATTAATTACTATTCGCAATAATTTCGAGGTTTTTGCTGTTTGAAATTGAATTAAATTAAAAATGTCAATTTATTTGTATACCTTAAAAATCGTCTAAAGAACATCTAAATATACAAATATTTTTACAAATTTTCATATTTGTAATATTTAGTTCAAAACTTATACTAATAACCTGAACGATAAATACTCTCTTAGAATTTCTTTATTCTCTTTAGTGAAGGATATTTATAATACGTTCTTCAACGTTTTATTCGTTTATGATAATAATGTATGTTAATTTTTATATAATGTATAATTATTAAATATTTTGCATGCCATGAGAGACGCAAAATATAGTTGTATAGTTTTTTTTATACCACTGAGGTGGCAAACAAGCATACGGTTCATCTGATGGTAAGCGGTTACCGTAGCCTATGAACTTCTACGATACTAGGGGCATTACGCGCTCGTTATCAACCCTTTAAGAAGCCTTTTTACTTGTTTTTAAAAACTCTATGCTGAAGTCTCTTGGAAAAACTTCGACTCATTCTATAACTTGAGCGTTCGTGGGAGAAAACTTCTTTAAAACCGCGCTGTATGCGAACATTTAGGCTCTAAGATATGGTGGTGAATTCCTTGTCGATGGCGAACTGTACAATCGTAGAAAGTGGCCGTGGGTATACACCCACGGCTACTTTCATTGTTCATTTATCATTGAACAATTAATTGACTGAGCACAGTTTTCTGTACAAGCGGTAGAATACGCAGAGTGAAGCAATTTCTCTTAAGACTTAAGGGATACCGCTTGTAAGCCTGGAATCATCGAAAATTCTCATAGCTCGTCGTTGCACCGAGTCGAAGGGTTCAAGCTGGTGTCTAGGTGCTCCAGCTCATAAGAGACAGCAATACTTCATGTAGAGCCGGATAAATAAAAATGTATTCAATTAACACTTATGTAATATATTAACTTATGATTTTGCAAAGTAAATTATTTGATTTAAAAATAATAGAATTTTATATTGAAATTTGAATTAACAACTCACATATTTCGTTAATAGATTACTATAAAAATAGGTATTATCCATTTCTAATCATACTCCTATACTCTCCAGTATAAAAAGACATTGACGTTCCACTGCTGGACAAGTTTTTTCACATAAAGGGAGAATATGGTTTACGCTCGAAACATACAAGTCTCTAAATACTGCCTGAAAACCTTCATATCTCAAAATAATAGTCGCAATAAGTCTCAGAGGTGAAAGTATTAAAAGGTATATGTATTTTTTTTAGTTTGTATATATTTTTTGTATAAACGAATGGTAAGATCCTTTGAATCTATGGTCATATGAAAGTAAGTGCGAAGTTTTATTATCATTATTACGGTTGAGATTTACGTTCTATTCCGAAATTTTTGGTTTTACGTCACACATATTATATAGTTTTAACTAAGTTTTCATCTATTTATATCATAGACAATAAAGTATTCTTTGTAAAAAAAAAATATTGTCTCTACTTGCACAGTCAATCAGTCCAATAAGGATTATCATTCAATAAGCCAATATAATATAAACTTTAATCGTTGCCCAATCGAGCATATATCGTCATTATTCAACACAAAAAAGCTTCCTTCCGCGAAATTTCAGCGTGTACAAAATATCATGTTGCCGGTGTCGAATTCGCTGTGTCCTGACGAAATCAGCCCTGACAGCCCTCACGCACAGACATGCACACAATTAAAAATACAAATAGCTACGTCTCTATAGCTTTTAATTGTTTACCTGTAAAACCTACGATATTTTTTTTCTTTTTTATGTGAAAGGGCAAACGAGCATGCGGTATTTATAGATGTTTAAGTATAAATACATATATAATAATAAATTATATATATTTATACTAGGATTATGATGTCAATATATTAAGGATATATGTAACTATTTGTTTTTATATCTATATTTATATGTATTGATAATGAATCAGAATTATTTATATGTAAGAATAATTTATATGATTATATCTAGTTTTAGTTTATTATAATAAGTTTTTAATTGTTGAGAAATATGTAAAATTATGTTTGAATTATGATAGGATAATACAGACGTCATTATCAATTTTGTCGTTATTTATAGGTATTTTTTCCAATGTTTAATAATGGAATGGTAATCTGCGCTATCGGTTTATTATCTCAGCGTACTTGCAAAAGATGATAAGTGAGAATTATAGCAGTTGGTTCATCGAAACGAATTTATCAGGAATAAATCACGATGGTTTCCAGAAGGAATGTCGCGTAAAGGTTGACCTGATAGAGTATATGGATAGATATATAAACAATCATATCCCTTTCCCCCTTATTATTTGTTTTTATGTCATCTTCACGAGTTTGTACGTACTGTTCGGTATGTCCTATAACTGCGTAAACTACAATTAGCCGTACGGAAATAAAGTCGTAATCATATTTATGTTCAATAACATTTTTTACTTTCTTGAAGGTAAAAAAATTTCTCAATACGGACGGTTGCTCCGTGGGCCGTACGTTTGTGTTACGCTGTCGCGGTGTCATGTTGCGCGTCAATCGTCAACAATCAATGTCAATTGACGGCCTAATACTCGAATAATGCGCGTTTTTTTCCCTAAGTCCCTGGATTTGAGGTTGGGGATAATTTGCTCGAATGCTCGCATGTGGAAACAGTTTAAGAATAAATGCAGGTAATTTGTTGGGAAGAATCAAATAATGATCTGTATTGTTGAATATTTTGGTATAAAGTATTCATTCTTACTAATTTAATATAAAATTACATCATAAAATTTTCTGACCTATACTCGTAATAAATTATTTTATTTGTGACGTAAATATTTTTTGAATACGTACATATATATTTATTTATAGTATATGTATTTATGTAATATTTTATTATATATCTTAATATTTTCTTTAACTGTATATTTGTTTACGTACTCTAAATATTAATACATAGTTGTAGCACTTCAGCTACCCGCTAACAACATGCTTTCTAACTGCATTGGGTTGATTGGAAGAGATCTCTGTCAGAGATAAGTCCACCCTTGCTCACAATATTTATAAATGCATTAACAATGTAATTTACAAGTGCAATAAAGAATATATAATATGTATAAGTATTTACTATAATAATAATATTATAGTAAATATATTATATTTAATAAATCATTAACAATTCAGATAATCTTACTGTTATTGTTAATGATTTATTAAATATTATAATAGTGCATGTGGTGTTCGCGTATAAAAGATTTTTACATTAGGCAAAATTATTTTTTTGTGTTATTAAGTTGCATGTAAAATGTAAAAGTTGTATGTGAACCTTATTAAATAAAAAAAAAAAAATACTTTCTCTGGCTCAATTAGCTTTCACTGTCTCGCATTAATATCAGCAATAGTATTCCATTGTGAACAGTGAAATATATCTCTTTCGTAACATTCCCACTGCTTACAAAATAATGAAGAACATCATCATTATTTCCTGCTTTCGCTCTTGTTTTAATACCTGCATCATGTTTCTGCATCTCTAGTAAACTCGTTGTCTGGATATATAAATTCTCTTACTTGTCCGATTTTTTTCAACTCTATTATCTCGTATTCATATATTTCCTCACAACGTACATTCGTAACAATAATTTAACTTGCATTCATTTTAATTCCTTTCTCATGCAAACTTTCAATTGTATGAGATTCTATGAAGTCAATCGCTGATGGTGGAAGTAGAAAATCATCATCGGTATATAAGTGATTAGCTGTATCCTGCGATTTCGCCCGTGTGAATCAGTACATTATCGTCATTATCGTGATTCAGTAATCTATGTACTAAGTTAGGATATGACACACTCGTGTTCCAAATTTCATTCATATTCGTTCAGTAGTTTATGCGTGAAAGAGTAACCAACATCCATTCAGCCATCGTTACAAATGATCGCATTAATAGGATTTAGGTATAGAATTTTTCAAGAGTTTTGCTAGATAGTTGTCTATATATATGTGTATACCTATCCATTTCTTTTTTAATATATTATGTAGTATATATAATTAATTAATTATATATATATACTTTGTTATTATTTTTGATTTGTCATAAGCAAATAAACATATACGTAGTACGTAATTCTACGTTTATGTAAATATATAAATTGCTAAGTTTTAAAAAGGAAAATAAATAAATACAGGAACATTAGAAAATTGCGGAACATTGCATCTTATGAGTATGATTTGCAAAAGTTGATAAAAATCTCCACTTATATTTCATGAAATTGTTTATTTAAATAATACCTATTGAGTTCCCATAACCCAACGATTTATTTAAAAAAATATGAGTAATCGTAGTCTTTAGGTTTACGCGATTTTGTTTACACTTTATAAAGATACATAACTGATTTTTAAATTATTTTGTACTTAAATAATTTTATTAAATAAATGTATAAGTACTCGTCAATAGATAAAAATAGGTAAATGTTTATTTATATTTAAAGTCAGGCACTTACCTGTATCCGGTCTTCGGGCAGGTCAGTTTTGAGGGAGAGCATCTCTCTGGCATACACGTCAGGGTAGTGTGCGTCCTTGAATGCTTTTTCCAGCTCGTCCAGTTGGTATGATGTGAAGATCGTCCTGCTACAAAAGTAGAATACAAATTGGTAGACTAGGATCATACGTGATATAGATAAATATCAACATAGATTAAAAGTAAAAATTCAAGATTTTTAATGGATTTTATAATGAGAAACAAACTGACAAGCCACCTAATTGAAAATGGTAATCGTTGCCTATAGATATGAACAGTACCATAGATATCACAGGATAGACAGCGACGCCCATGATGTCCTTTATGCGTCATCACATCAAATTAGCCCTTAACTATTCACTGCTGAACACAGGCCTCCCCCATAAGAAGGGTTTTGCCAGTAGCTGCCACACTTTGTAGGCGGGTTGGCAACCGTAGTTACATTTTGGTTATGTATAAAGAGGCCCGCTATTGTTCATCCCTCGACCATTAAGCTCCTTTAGTCGCTTTTTATCAAACCCACGGGAAAGGAAGGGGTAGCCCATTCTGTGCCGAGACCACGCGGTTTTATACGTCATACTAGAAGACTACAGCGTTATGTTTCCGTAGCCTGTAATTTCACTGCTATATCTCACTCTTGAAACTGAAACACTGCCATGCAAAAACTGCCTCACTAGAAACATGAGTGCACATTTGTACAATGTTTCTTTCTGGTAGGTAACGGAGTTTACCTAGGAGAATAAGGCAAAATATGAAAACTATATATATGGAGACCTTTATCGTCATTAACTAATTTATTATTAAAATGAATTTAAATAGAATTTGGTATATATAGAAATCACATGCTAAATTAATACGCAGTGCTTATTCGCCAATAGATTAGAAAAATTGGTTCACGCAGCTTATGGATTCTCTATGACATGTCTCTAACGTAGGTATTGACATGTAGTTATTGGATTTGAATTGAATATTATATTCCTAATTACTAGGTACTATAATTTCAACCACAGAATTGACATTGTATTATGTCGATTTAGGTATTATCATAATCTCTTACAATTAGTTATTGATATTAAATGTTATAAATTAAATTTGATGCGTACAAAAATTATAATTGCATCTAGTGTGTTGGAGTTTAATCATCTGTAAACTGTAGAATAAACAAATGTGATAAAAGCGGCGGGATTTTTATATGCAATTCAGAATGACAAACAAGTTTATGGCCCACCTGATAAAAACCGTCACCTACGGATATGAATATTACAATGTGCATCATAATAACACTGTAACATCCATGGTAGGTCATAAGATGTTATCCCTCCGTATATCTCGTTGGGCACCTCTGTCTCATTCGTGTTTCTTTCGTAGTAGTTATGTTTGTATGGCTGTGTTTCGGTTTGAAGGGTAGGATATGGCAGTGAATTTACAGGGTACAGAGGAATAACACCTGAGTCCTTAGGAATGACAACGCGAAACACTATTCTCTGTTATGTCGATGGTACTGCTCATGTATATAGGTGACGGTTACAACTTTCCAACTTTCCGGTGGGCCGTTAGCTTGTTCGCTATTCTAAGTTGCATAAAAAAACTTTAAAAATGAATCGATTTATTACTGTACTGCAGTAGTTGTACTGAGTTTGTTTGTAGATATCTTACAGCACCTTAACGGCTTAACAAATCGCTATGAATTTTATTGAACACGCACTATATGGGATGTAAACAGATATGGGCTTATTATTATTCTGGTTAGTAAACATAAATTAATGATCAAGGAATTAACAGCAGCGTTCCCCAAACGTAACTACGATTGCAAACCGGCCTGCCAAGTATGGAAACTATTGGCAAAACCTTTTATGGGGAGGCCTATGTTCATCAATGGATAATTAACGGTTGATATAGTAATTATAAAGGTATATCTCGGTCACGCGGACAGAGTTGCGGATAAAAACTAGTAAAAAATTAAGAATAGTATTTTATGACAGAAACATAGGTATGCTGTAAAGAATTATTCAAGTAGACAAATTTTAAGTAATTTTAAATTTTAGAAAGTATATTAAAAAAAAAATAAGAAGGCAAAAGAAAAAGGGGGAAACCGAGGAATAACTACACTAGGCAGATTAAACACTAGGTGTCATGTCGTGTAGGGAGGTCAAAGATACAGCCTGAGATAAAACTGGCTGGAAGAAGATGCATGAATTAGTTGCAACGACAAGAGGAAACTCATAAATGAAAAAAAAAAGTATTAAGGAATATGGCTCGTCTAATCTAATGTAAGTGAATAGTTGGACAGTTACCTATGCCGGCGTTTTTTCTTCTTCTTTTTGCCATTGTACCCAGTAAGGCCGTCGACTGTGAAATCTTTCGCTGCTTCTAGCGCCGGAACGCCTGTGAACAATTTTTACATGTTTAACGCTGACTTTAAACTATCTGCCCTCTCCTATCTCAATATGTTTATAAAAAAATTCAAAATTACCTAACAAATCAACACATTTTCACGTTTATATACAGTATAATCCTAGTCTTTTTCCGTGACTTTTTTTTTGCATGATCTGAATAATATTAATTGAACAGAATAAAAAAAAGGCCTATGTTCTTCTCTAAGAGAAATACTACCTCTTTTATAAAAAGGTAGTATTTCTCTTGGATTTTATGACGATTCGTTAAAGCACCGAGAGATAACAAACTCACTTTCATATTTATAATTTACCTATTACTAACTCCTTAGCTATTAGTAATCTCTAAGGTTTCATATTCCTTTCCCGTGTGTGTTGTAAGAGGGGACTAAGGGAGATTAATAGTCTCTTTAAACATCACCAAAACCTAACTACGGTTGTCAACCAGTCTGTCAAGCATGGCAGTTATTGGCAAAACCGCCCACTAGGGGGAGGCCTGTATTTAGTAGTAGTTAATAGTTGATACGATACGATAGTATATGATGAAGGTTTTCTATTAATATTAGTTTGAATATCTCATACCTATCTGAAATACTCAGGGTAAGAGTTTTTTTTTGCCATCGAATTATTCTATCCTAGAATTTATAAATATTTAAGGTAATGTAAATATTTCTCTAAATTTTCTGAGAAAGTAACCGAGATTCGTTTTGAAAAATTAAAGATTTTGAAAACAAATGATTTCCATTCAAAACGATTATTTAAAATTGGTTCAAAATTTGTGAAGATACAGTCAAATTAAACCTCATTCTAGTAAGTATTTTTTAAATAGCGTAATTTCAAATTTACAAATTTTATTAAGTTCCTCAAGTCGAAACACTTAGTTCACAATCACAACACACCCCGTCTGCAGTCAAAACTCGAAGCCACCGCCTATCCCCGAAATCCACTTAACGGCTAGTGTGACAACACAACACTTACCCGGGGATTTGTCACATAATTACCGAATGTGATTGCCAAATGAATTAGTAAACAGGCGAGCGGTGGCGGGTTAATAGAATAGATCGGGCGCGTCCCAAGGGACAGCAGCGGGGCCGCGGGACGGCGGTATGCGGGGCGGGGGCTGTAACAGGGCGCGGGACGGCAGCCCTCAGGGACGCCGGGTAATTGAATTTGGCGCCAATGAATACGACAATGAATTATTAAATTTAGAGCGGTTCCCTTATGGAACTCTAATCCGGCTTAACGATATAAACGGTACGTTGAAACGTTCAATACTCGGTTACTACTGAATTCAAATCATGTTTTGTATACTGAACTAGCTATGAATGCGAAACATTTGTTATTTTGGTGTGCCTTTGTGTTAACACGTAAGTGTGACGAATCACGATGCAAACAATTTTGCGAGGGAGTCAGATGTGTTTATCAGTTTGTTGAGGTCAAAGGACATAATTGTGACATATTAATCAAATTAATTGAAACAAAGTACAACGAAAGTAATGATGTGTTATGATTTGCATACGATCAAATATTTATCGTCAAGAATATACCATATAAATAATAGAATCTTTGTGCAGTCTGTGCTGGTAACAAAGTCGTTATCAATTTTAAAAACTAAATAAATTATAATGTTTCGATTATTTTATTTGACGTAGAATGTTTCAATAATTTTTAAAGCCAAACTAATTAATTTACATATACCAATTTTGATAGATACACAACATAAGTATAAAGTATAATATTATCTATTGGGTAATAACATTTTAAATTTAACACATTACTCAAGTCATGACATATAATATCGACACCCAGCGCGCAGTACACGCACTGGTGTGCAGTGTGTGCTGTATCGAATTGGGACAAACGGACTGTCCACCAATCGATTTGCCACACTCGTTGTTTATGAAAGCAATAACAGTAGCGATGACTGGTCAATACTCGATCTTTTTAAGCTACATTAAAAGCAAGAGGTTCTCAATCTTATTATTACGAGATTTTGTGGCCAAATCTGAAGCGTTTTTTGTAAATATTCGTATTAATTCATGCCATTTTTGCCGTTGCTTGTCAGGAAGCAAAATCTATTTGTGTTCAGCGTTACAAATTTTAATTTTTTTTTTATTAAAAATATTATGTTTTTACGATATTTGAAGCGTGAACTTTAAGTTTTTCGATGGATTAAGTTAAACAACTTATCTTAGCTCAGTATAACTGTACTTTATCGTTCTTTAGTGTATTTGTTTGAAATAACTGTTTTTTTTTTTTTGCAGATAAAAATGTATCTTTCGAACTAGCAATTCCATTTTTGAAAAGACAAAGAATGGCTTCTGGCATCTGTATTTCCCGAATCTTATAATCTATCGTCCTTTAAAGTTAGAGTGAATAGACATTATTCGAATTTGCATGCTCCATCTTAGAACACGTCATAACTTACCATCAAGCGAAGCTGTAGTCTAACGTACTTCGATTTTATAATGTTAATAAAAAAAAGAATGTAAAGATAGAATTAAACTTTCATACATTTTATAATGCATAGAGAGCGGTGAAGATGAAATGTAGAGGCGATACGGATGGGTGAGTTGGTCCCGCGAGACGCAACGCTCTCTGAGCGCTCTGTGCACTTGCGTTGATTAGGTGACGCAACTACCGTCTTTTTTAAGACTCCAATAAAATACACGTTGGCAGACAGAGTCCTTACTAATATTATAGATGTGAAGGTGAGTTGGTTCGTTTATTTGTTTGTCTGTTTGTTATCTCTTGACGCCTTAATGATTCAACTAATCCAAAGTTGTGGATTAAAGGTAGTTCTATATATACCTAACATAAAATAAACAGTTCTAGTTAGCATTCCCTATACATTTTATATTTGAATTCTCAGTGTTTTAAAATAAAATATATTCAAAATAAATAAAGTACTAACTTCAATCTTGATTAAAAAAGTCTCTTTTAGTTGTATACCTGTATGGGTTCCATAGTCAGGGGATCAATACAGGCATATACCCATTTCACAAAATAATTTATGAAAATCTGTCTATATTCTCGTAAATATCATATGGTACCTAACCGCAGCAGGTTTAAAAATATAGTCGAATAGAAAACTTCTTTCATTAAGATATCGATTAAAATTTAAATCAATCAATGCTTAGAATGAAAGAAGCATGAATTTAATATTTAAAATTATAAGCCATATGTAAAATACTACTATCAATCATGATAAATTATCATGGTCTACTTAAGTCAATATATCTTCAAATCGAACTGTGTTAGTGATTTTGGAACTCGTAATTTTACTTAAACTTTTCCCATCAAATCTAAACTATGCAAGTCTTTTAATAATATATAATATAAGATTAATAATATTAAAATATGATATAAGACTAGCTATAAATTTTAATAAAAAATAAAAATTAACTTGTATAGACAGACAAAGAGATTTCATTTACTCAGAATAATATAAATACCAAACAAAAAGGCCTGGACAAGTTGTTAGAGTTTTTTTAATAAACTATAAAAACTTACATTGTCGCTGTTGATGGCTATAAATAAGCGATGTATAACAATAATATTTTTTTTTTTTTTACAACACAGGGGGCAAACGAGCATGCGGCTCACCTGATGGTAAGTGACTACCGCCGCCCATGATCACCCACAACACCAGCGGCATTGCAGGTGTGCTGCTGGCCTTTTAAAAAGGAATATACTCTTTTCTAAGGTTATGTTGTCGTATCGGTTCGGAACTGCTGCTGGATAGTTGATTCCAAAAATGGTTGTGCGTAAGAAAGTGCCTTGAAAAACGCACGGTTTATGAAACTTTAGTTTGTGGCGGGTTGTACGGTGGTGAAAATCAGCATATCAATCCGTTCCTAGAACACTCCCCATGATAAATAGAAGATGCACAGAGATGCAACATCTCTGCGCAGTTTCAGTGGATCAAGTACAGTAAGGCGTTGACTATCGATAATTCGAGCCGCCCGATTTTGAATGCGGTCTAAAAATACCAATAGAACAGTGAATATAATTTCAGGCGGTGTTCTGGCATGAAATATCGTCTCAATTAACTGGTTCATTAAGATATCGTCGCAAGATATATCAAATTTAAATCAATCAATGCTTAGAACGAAATTGGACAAGATAAGCATTTTGAATTTAATATTTAAAATTATAATGTATCTCATATAGCAATGAATATTACTTATCTGTAACATATCATTGATACAGAAGAAACAACACCAGCATTCAAAGGTTTTAAATCAGAGCATGCTCCGTCGACTACGACCTCATGATAAATTTATCATAATAATATATAATATAAGATAATAATCATCAGCCGGTGTCGAACCATAACCTTCGTAAGTGATAGTGATTTAGCTATAAAATTTTACAAAACTTAAATGAGTAGCTTTTCCCGTAAGAACCGGAGCCAATCTGGTCAAATCAAATTGGAGGAATACCATCGGGCCCACTATGACTTATCTTTTAATAATATATAATATAAGATTAATAATCCATTAAAATATGATCGGCCTTTTCCTTAGCGTTCTGTATAAGATTAGCTAAGAGACCAGAAAGCTCGAAAATTTACTAATATAAAAACTAAATCGGTGTTAATCTCGCGAACCTTTAGTATAAGGAAGCGATGTTTCAGACGAGATGCTGTAAAGAGGCTCCATACCAGGGCTGGGATTTCCCGCCGACGGGCAGATTAAACACCACATCAGCAATGGAATCGGCAATGGCGTCGGGATCATCCAGTAGTTATCTCATCCCAGTCTGCTGAATAGTGCCAAACATAATCGGACTCATGAAATTACAATAATGTCACATAGTTGTCTGGGTTGGTCAAAAAGGTCCAACAGGAATAACAATCAGGTATTCGCGTGTTAGACCATAATGTGAACAGATCTTCCCGCATAGTCGGTTGTACGTTATGGTGGGCATTAAAATCGCCAAGAATCACGACTTGTCAGCGGAAGTCTGTTCGAGCAGGGGCTATGAGTTGGTCGGTTTCGATGTTAATGTATAGGCATGTAGACGCGAATGGTCATTGCAGTCTACGCGCAGCCATAAAATAGATTACCTTCAAACGCATACACCGGCACGCGAAACAAAACAATGTTCAAGTTTATAGCCCGGGTACGTCAAGTATGAAGTTTCGTTTGGAGAGGATATGTGTCTCCGTTAGAAAGCAGCAATGCCGGCCGCGCCGTTTCTAGGTGGTGGTGGACAGCGTTTAGGTTAGAATCATATTGCAGAAGCTCACATTGAGCGAAGGGGATGCCGTAGAAATCTTGCTCCGTTTGCCCTTGGTTCCAAAGAGCGGAATTTTGCCCCCCCCCCCCCCCCCCCCCCAGAATACGCAGGGCAGCCCGAGCGTGGTTGCTCGAGAGAGGATTCTCCAGCAACATGGTTACTGGTACCTCCCTGGGGTATGTTATTTTTTTTTTAATTCGCGTGTTGTAAGATAGGGGGACGGGGTTGGGGAAAGGATTCAAGGAAAGGGATGGGTATGCCTCCGGACTCCCTCACTCACCATACGGAATGTAACTAAAAGTGCAACCACTTATACAAAATACCATATGGTATTACAAACCACCTACAAATAGCAAACTCATTAAACACATAATGTTTCTATTGATCCTATGAAGCCACGATCATTACTGCCGCAATACCTCGACCAATAATGTGAACACGGATACAAACCTCAGTGAACCTTTCGCATATAATCATATAAATACTAATGATTGTGAGTGAAGTATAATTTAAATACGAGAGCCTCCCTCCGAGGGAATGTAAGTGTCGACGAAGGAAAGCTACTTGTGTTGAGTCGAACACTGCCACTTTACATCGACGCTGTGTTACCATCAACATATCATAATAATATAAAATGTAAAAGATATATTATATTATTAACTATATTATTTATATCTAAATGTATGGTAGTATAAAACAATAATAAATCAAATCGGACCACATTGTTAATAATTGTCATCCTCATATCAGCCGTTAACTGTTCAGTGCTAAACGTGGCTTACGTTCCTACGGCCTACATTAGCGTCCACCTATTGAGGGGTTTTGTCAGCAATTGCCATGCTCAATAGGAGGGTGGTTGCCAACCCAAAGTTGCTATGCTCGACAAGCGGGCAGTTAGGCTTTGGTGATGTTTAAACAGGGACGCTGCTGCTCATTCCTCGACCATAAAATTCCCTTATTCGCCTTTTACGACGTACACGGAAAAGGAAGAGGTGGCCCATTTTATGCCGTTGCTTACAAACATGAATACCATCATGGATATCACAGAATATATTATTGAATTATAAGTATTCTGTATAAATGTCTAATTTCCTATAAAAATATGATATATCTACAGATTATACTGAGGTTTTCTGTACTTACAAATCTAGTGTCATTTGGTGTTAAATAATCAACAAACATTCGAAATTCAAAATGTATTCAGCGATAAAATCCAAGCAGTGACATTTTTCATCTAGTCGTCCTTTGTCAACTATTCAGACTTTTCCGTGTCCGGAACTCCGGGCGGTGACCAGTCTACAATGAATGACAGTCTGTATGCACATTACACATGCACCTGAAGTTAGTAACGGTGATTTCATGTGAAATACAGACACTGTTCATGTATTTGAGGATTATAACTTCTCAGAGAAATATTTACTTTATTGATTTATTTGAATATTCAGTAATTTATAATGAATAATTATTTGTTAATTAATTATTTGTAAATTAATTATTAATTTTCCACTCAGTGAAAATACATCTAAATTAAGTCTTTGAATAAATAGGAATATTGATTAATTTGTTAAAAGTTTGTATTCAAGACAGAAAGACTAGCATAACTGCAGTTATAGATGAAGAATATTATGACATATAATTTCTAATACCACTTGCGTTAAACTAAATAAATGCATTTAGACACCTGCTAAATTGACGAAAATCTAATATCTTTCCATTATAATATTTTTGTGCGTTGTGCGGTCCTGACATAGAATGAGCCACCTCTACCTTTTCGTGGATGTCGTAAGAGGCAACTAAGGGAATTTAAACGTTGAGAGATAGGCAGCAGCGTCCTTTCATTCTTTCATAATATCACCAAAACTTAACTGTGGTTGCCAACTTGTCTGCCAAGTGTGGCAACTACTGGCACAGCTCCCCTTATGGGGGAGGCCTATGTTGTGTATGCCAACAGTGGACACTTATCGGCTGATATAGGTAGTGATGATGATGATAATATTTTTTATTATATTTAATATATATTACATCGCTCTCCAACATAAAGCTTCAAAATGTGTATACAAAGCATTTTGCTTACTCAAAAATGCAATATAACGAAATCGCATCTACACTACAGACTTATACGAATACGTAACGTAATATTGTGATATTCTGTCCTATTCGTGGCATTGCAGTGATCATATGGGGGAGAGAGATGGAAATGGTTTAGTGCGCGGAGTGAGGCAATCTAGCGAGGAGTACAGGTAGCGTCAACGTACGAAGACACGACTACCGGCCAATTTACTAGCTGAAGCTGCTTAGGATTAGATTTACTGACGCGACTCGAAAATACACTTAGATATTAGCAATGATATAAAAATTGGACTTTGCAAGATCTGAATTGTTACTTTTATCTCAAGTGGAAAATTTCTAAAAAGAAATTTGCACTAAAATGTTTTAAATAAACCCAATTTCAATTCATACTAAGGGATTCAAGCGGAGCAAAGTCTACTTTCTGAACTCTAGTTACTATGTATGGTACAGTACGGTTTACAGTTGGTGAAGACTTAATATTTGATACTTGCTTAAGTAAATACTAAGATACCTACTATCACCATAATAATTCGAATGATAAGTATCTGATTTTTTAAATTGGTCCAATTATTAATTTACAATTAAGTTCATGTATAATCAACATTTCTTGTTCTATATACGGCAGTCAAATAATGTATAGATGTAACAATACAATTTTACAAATAAAGATTCGAAATTTAACAATTTAATGTAAAACTGAAAAAAAAAATGAAAAATAAACATGTTTAAAAACACCCTGAGGCAAATGCAAATATCACGCGCTGTGAGTGGAAGGCAAATCTCGTGTAAATTGTAGCGGCGAACGCTAAACGAGAATTAAGAATTGAGCGCAAGAAATTGCCAATTTTCTCGCAACAAGCCAATTTGAGAAGCGTTCCCGCGCATTATTTGATTTGTGGAGACGCGATTACCCTCACGGGGACACGCGCCCGCGCCGCCGCCTTTGCAAATTACCTGAATAAAACTGGCGCACCGCTACCGATACATGAAACAAATAAAAGTAATTGTTAAAATAAAACATAAATAAAATCAAATAATTCAAATTTTATTTGACTGCGAAGAAGGGAGGACAATGGATTTTGATCTGAATAAGAATGTCAATATATTCGTCTATGTGCATTTATATATAACTCAATAAAACATTGTTTAATTTGTTATACTTAATTGGATAGTCTTCAATTACAATAATTAATCTTATGTCTATTTGTATATATTATATAGGTATAATTTTTATTATTCATATATTAAGTATCCTCAATACTAGAACTTATATGGTCGAATACAGATGTTTGCTCTCGTCAACGCATAGTTATGTTGTGGAATAAATCGTGGCTTTTCCTTATATATTTAGGGTCTCTCTTATGAAGAACCCCATGCTATACAGTGGGTTTCTTTATAAACAGGGTAAAGAAATGGCGGATAACAGTTTGCAATGCGCGCGCATTGTCCCTGGTGCTGCAAGTAACATGTTGCATTAACCGCTTGTCATCAGCCGAGAGAATGACGAGAGTACAAAAGTTTCACCACTAAACACTCACCAGAGAGAGATTGTACAAAAATCGTTTGCTTGGGTATACTCCTCTGTACCATTCATACTTCTATCGTGAAGCAGTTATTTTGCATGGCTGTGTTTCAATTCAAAGGAGATATGGCAGTGAATTTATAGGGTACAGAAGTATAACACGTTAGTTCCCAAAAATAGCAACGCATGGGCAAAACCGTATACTCAGTTATGTCCATAGTACTGTTCATGTTTAAAGGCGACAGTCCCTAGTTTCCACCAGATGGACCGTCAGTTAGTTTGCCATTTTAAGTTGTATAAAAAAAGCCCGGTCATATGCTTGTTGGCCACCTCAATGGTATAAAAACATGTTTTTCTTTTTATCTATAATAAATCTGATATCTTATTATTTCACTACATTGCGCTTCCTAATGTTTCTTTTATTACAAGCTATGACATCATTCTATTTGTATAAATTTCTAAGTCTGTGTGGTTCTTGTTGAGGACACAATCGTTCTGTCTGACCGTTGCGTCTCGCGTCTGACAAGGTACGGCGTGAAAGAGTGCTATGCCTGGGATATCGCATTTCTTCGTGTTTGTTCCCACAGTGCGCAGGTGTTAACAAAAATGGAGCAACGTGACTCATACAAAACCACCACAAAGCACCTTTGTGCCCAGATATTATGATCTCGAGGCTTCTTTCTTTTCGCAAACCATTTCGGTCAACTGTTTTTGTTTCTTTTTTTCTACTTCAGAGTAATTAGACAGGATTTAAAGTAGAACTTTTTGAGAACTTTATGAACCAGATAGTAATTTCAATAGCCATGAAAGTATATTTTTTTTATAATTTATAAGTAATAATGTTTGTACAGTTGATGGAATGTTTAGTTTAGTTAGAATTTTGTTACTTAATTACGATTAAGCAGCTGAATGGATTTGAATAAATTTGCCAAACAGATTGATCATGTTAGTATTTTAACATAATTAGAATACTTTCATCTTATTTACTTAATTTACCATATGTTTTTGTGCTATAATTTGTTAAAATTGTTGTTTATATTAAAAACATATTTTATTTCTATAATATTTTATTGATAAAACATTTTTGGAACACAACTCCATTATTTACTTGTAAGAAACTTTGCGTTCTCCCAAGTAAGTAATGGTAATAACGTGGATTATTAAAGTGGTAATTATTTAGCAGACATTCTGATTTACATATATCTTATTCGAATTCATAGAATTATTCGATTCTAACCATTGAACAAGGTATCAAATGTGTAGAGAAAATTTACAAAAATAATATACAGCCTATGTTCCTCGTTGACAATGTAGGTATTTTTAAAATCGGTTAATAGTTTTTTTTTAATGTATCCATAACAAACAGTTAATTAAAACCTTCCTCTTTATAATAATGTAATAGATAATAGTATATGTGACTATATAGTTATTAAATGGAATTAGAACCCAGTCAACAATTCCAACAATATCTATTGAAATGCATTTTCATGTGTTAAATCATCAGTGCTACCAAATGATTTCAAAATTTTATTTTTCAAGTTTTCCATTATATTATCAAAAAAGCAAATAAAAATTATTGCCTTTCATAATTACTGACATTGTCTTATTATCTTTCTTATAGGATCGACAAACATTGCTTTAATGAATAACCAATTGCATGATTTCATTAACAATACAACTTAATTGTGTGTTTGTGAGACGACGCTACTTCGTATGAGATAGGATAACGATGTATTTACGCAATAAACATGTCCAAAACTTAATTACTGGTATTGTTCTTGTGATTATTTGCCGGTGGGGCGGAGGGGGTGGTCGGAGAAGGGCAACTGGGGCCTACTTACGTCATACTCGGGTAATGTTTGTTTAATTACGAGTATACCTCTACATGGTAGTTGGTTTTAATAATCGCTATTGTTAAGTCTGCCTGTTAATTGTAACATGATAATCATTCGGTATTATTAGTCTGTACATTGGTGTTTGTATGTTTTGTTATAATTTTGAATAAACTGAAACATTGTAAGTAATTAGATTAAACTCTTAGATTACTCTTAGTTGTAGCTGTCATATTCAACTAACATATAGCTTTATATGTACATTAAAATAATACTTTATATATTTATCCACCTGCCTAATTAGAGTACCAGTGTGTCAGTTGTACAATATATATTATATTCTCATTTCTATTTTAAACTATCAGAATATGAAAATTAATTATATCTTTATAAGTTACTTTGAGATCAGTTTGTTCCTTTGGATATCAAACTTATGTCAACATTATCATATCTATAGCGCCAAACAATTATATATATTCTTTATTGCACTAAAACATACATTAACAACAATAAATTAATAACAATGTTAGCAAAGGCGAACTTATCAACACAATTGATAGAGATTTCTATTCTTTTATTTATATAATATTAGCTTTTACACGTGACTTCATCCGTGTTTCCGAGTTATGTTTACTAACCAGGATAAAAAGTAGACCGTACCTTTCTTTATTACATAAACTACGTACCAAATTTCATAGTGATAACTTAAGCCGTTAAGGCGCTTTAAGGTAACAAACAAAAGGGTAAAGAGGAATAACACCTGAGTCCTCAGGAATAGCAACGTATAGTCCATGGTACTGCTCATGCCTATAGGTGACGGTTACCACATTCCATCAGGTGGACCGTTAGCTTGTTTGCAATTATAAAATGCATAAAAAAAAAAAAAAACAAATAAATTCACTTATTCTTAGCGCTTTAACGTTTTAACTAATTTAGGGATTTTGAAATCTCGTATATACATAGAAACTTTATGTAATGAAGAAGGATATATGCTATTTTTTATTGAACATATCCTGGTCATGCGAACGTAGTCATGAGTAAAAACCACAAACTTTTTTTCTAGATTTTTTTTTAAATTTTATAACTATTTTATATAATACATATTTAAGGTTTATGCTCACTTTTATACTTTATCCCAGTAGCAAATACCTACTACTTATTATTCTCATCTTCGTGTATAATATAGTATATTTTATATATGTGTAAGTATATTTGTTATTTATAATATTTATTGTTTATATATGTAAAGTACCGCATTCGTGTCATTTGTGACACTTCTCTAAGGTTGACTGGGAGAGAATGCTTTTAGTATAAAGTTCGCCTTGTACACATATATGTACTAATGAATAAATAAATAAGGTGATAATTCCTAATGTAATATTAAGTAATGAGGTGATGAAAGTACACCCCCATAAGTAATGGTACATACTATATTTTAGTCGACTAAACACCGTGACTTGTTTAGTGGAGACGCGCAACGAAGGGACGGCGGACGGGTACGAGATCGCCACCTCGGGGACATAGGAAAATGATTTTTGGGGCGAAAATACCCTCAAGGCTCGTTACTCGCTTTTCGCCATTTTTTGAAAACGATATTGTTGTCGCCCTAGACTAGGGGAGTGTAATGATGTAAGGATATACTTAAGCCCGCGTTACACAGTCCAATTTGCCGTCTAAATGTAGTTTTAATGATTTTATTACAGTAAGAGCTGGAAAAGGAGATGAGGCCTTATTTAATTTTCTCATTACTGTAATGAAAAATAAAATTTTCACTTGATAAATTTAGCGAATAAAATGTTTGAAAATTGAATTGAAATTTTTTATTTAACATACACTGTAAAGTACTAATACAAAAGTAATTACTGTTTGTTTATCTGTAAAGTTATATTTTCAATTATATTTTCTGTTATTCCTGTCCACAGTCGACTAGTATATAACGTCATATGATGTTAAGTCCGCCATTTACATACACTTTCTAGGTGTATTAAAGTTTAATAAATAAATAAAGTTAATGTTACGTCGCAAGTACCTTTTGTTAGATTATTAAATATTTAATTATTTTGAATTATATCAGTGATAATATCATTGAAATTTTTAAATTTATTTTATAAATACTTGTATAATGCTACTGTAAATGTATGTAGGAAACAAGGCGATAGTTAATAATTTATTAACACAGTAGTTGTCACTTATGTCGCTATGTAGCACATTATTCTACATATTTATTTTAACCTATAACAATATTACCCTTCAAAGAAAAATTTCGTTAACAGTTTAGACACAATAAAAACGTGTGCCACAGCTTGTGTTCAGAGCCGACACAATTATATTTTTTCAACGGCTAAACACCCCTCGATGCGTTCGTGAGAGATAATTTATAAAGCAGAACAATATACATTTCATTAAATGCACACGCTTCATTAAATATGGAAAAGATAACGCTCGTTTTCTTAAACTGCTCGAACTGAAATAAAGCTGTTTCTATCCAAGTTTTTTTATGCAACTTAGAATAGCAAACAAGCTGACGGCCCACCTGATGAAAAATGGTAACCGTCACCTATAGACATGAACAGTACCATGGACGTAATAGAGTATACTATGTCGTCCATAATATCCTTCAT